AATAATAAAAATAAAAGATTAAAAAGGAACAAAATTAACTAAAACAAGAGAGAGGCTTTAGAGAAACCAACAGTGGCGCTACGAACAAATTCAATACTTAAGTCTCTACACCTGAGGTCCAAAAACAAAAAATAAAAGTAATGTACGGGCATGGCAGGCAATTTTACAATATGGAAAACAATAAAGACATGAAGATTACTTACATATATCAACCAGAAAAATACGTTATTAAGCTGGTGCTGTAAGCCTGTAATATGAGCACTCTGGGAGGCCGAAGCAGGAGGATAAATTCCAGCCTAGGAGTTTAGCATCTTAGCCAACCATATTTTAAAAGGGTGTGGATTCAACCTCCCTCGATAGGAAAGTATTAGACTCTTCATATTAGCATGTATGACCTTGTCTCAAAAAAATATTGATTTTTCTTCTTTTGAGAGAGTCTCGCTGTGTAGGTCAGGCTGGCCTTGAATTCACTATGCAGCCCAGGCTGGGCTCGGCCTCAAATTCATGGCAATCCTCCTACCTCAGCCTCCTGAGTGCTGGGATTCAAGGTGCACACCACGACGCCCGGCCATAAACTGATTTTTTAAAGAATGTCTCCATTTCTTCCATCTAATCTGACAGATTTATTCACATACAGGTGTTCTTAATGTCTTCCTATTTTCCTTTTCATATCTGTAGGATCTGTGGTGATAGCTCAGTTTTCATGATAATATTGACACTTTGTGTATTCTCTCTCACAGCCTTTTTTTTCCCCCTTTTTGGTTTTTTGAGACAGGGTCTCACTATGTAGTCCAGACTGGCTTTGAACTCACAATGTAGCCAAGGCTGGTCTCAAACTTGCAGCAATCATCCTGCCTCAGCCTTCCAAATGCTGGGATTACAGGTATGCACCACTATGCCTGACTGTAAAATATTTCTAATTTTGATTGTACTGTTTCTTTTAAAATATTGTTTATTTTGCATTCAAAATTTCTATTTCTGTCACTTTTTTTTTTCTTGGTACCAGGGATCGAACTCGGGTCCTTGAGCTCGCAAGGCAGGTGGTGGAACCACTGAGTTAAATCCCCTGTACTGTTTCTTTTGACACATAAGTTATTTAGAAATGTGTGGCTTAATATTCAAATATTATTAGTTAATTTTTGTTACTGATTTCAGGGATTGCACTGTAGTTAGAAAACATTCTATGCATGATTTCAATACTTTAAAATATGTTAAGACTGACTTTATAACTCAGTGCATGGTATATTATGGCAAATATTTCATGTGCACTTGAAAATGGCATGTATTCTGCAGTTGTAAGGTAAAGAGTTTTATAAATATCAACTAGATCCATTTGGCTAATCATACTGTTCAAATTGGTATCCTTTATGATTTTTGTTTGTTCTATCAGTTGAGAGAAATGATTATGGATTTGCTTGTTTCTCTTTTAATTTCCATCAAATTTTGCTCTTTAAATTTTGAAGTAGACACCTGCATACATATAATTGGTATGTCTTTGTCTTGGTCATTTTCTTGTTGCTGGGACAAAATAGCTAACAGTCACAAATTAAAGAAGGACAGGTTTATTTTGGCCTATAGTTTGTAAAGGTTTCAGTCCATAGTCGGCTGGCTCCAGAGCAAGGAGGCACAGCAGAGGGGCATCACAGAGAAGAAACAGTCCATAGCATGGTAGACAGGAAGCATGGAGCTCTCAAGATAGGAGGAGGGGTATATATACACTCTTCCAGGCCATGCCCACAGTGACCCACCTCTTCCCACCAGGCGTCACTTCCCAACATCACACCCAGCTATAAACCCATCAGTGGACTGATCCAGTATCATATACCCATGATCCAATCACCTCCCAAAAGCCCCATCTAAGAGTGTGTGAGGCTTTGGGGAGCATCTAGATATAAACCACAAGTCTTCCTGTAGAATTCACCCTGTTAATTTTATGAACAGCCTTTCTTAGGGCCAGGATGTAGCTCAGCGGTGCCACCCCTACCTGGCAAGTGCAAGTTCTCAAGTTTGATTCCCAGTACCAAAAAACAAAGAAAAGAAAAGAAAGGAAAGGAAAGGAAAAGAAAGAAAGAAAGAAAGAAAGAAAGAAAGAAAGAAAGAAAGAAAGAAAGAAAGAAAAGCCTTTCTTTATTGCTAGTAGTACGTCTTGCCTTTTCATCTATTCTTTTTTTTTTTTTGGTACTGGGGATCAAAATCAGGACCTTGCGCTTGAGAGGCAGGTGGCGGCGGAACCACTGAGCTAAATCTCCGGCCCTGACAAATTAACTTAAAGAATAAATGAAAAGGGTCCAGGGATTTAGACCAGTGGTTCCAGCACCTGCCTCACAAGTGCAAGGTCCCGAGTTCAATCCCCAGTACCAAAAAAAAAAAAAAAATTAATTTGTCGGGCCAACCTTATTTAGCTAATTTACATTATTTGCCATTTTTCCATCATTATATTTTCAGCATACTATTACCCTTATATTTAAAGTATGACTCTGGCCAGGCTAGGTGGTGAATGCCTGTAATCCTAGCACTGAAGAGGCTGAGGCAGGAGAATCCTCATGAGATGAGGCCAGCCTGGGCTCCATAGAGAGTTTAGGTCCAGCGTGAACTACAGGAAGACCCTGTCTCAAAAAAAAAAAGAACTTACTTCAAAAAAATAATTCAGTATGACTCTGAGAAGTCATATATAATTGGATCTCTTTTATTGAACTTGACAGTCTCTGCCTTTTAGTTGTAGGATGTGGTCCAATTTAATATAATTTAATGTCTAATATTATTGAGTTTGTACCTCCATCTTACTATTTGTTTTCTCCTTATGGAATCTTTGTTTTCTCCTCACTGCTATCTTTCAGATAAGTCAAGGAAATCTTCAACTCTGTTGTGATTTCTCTTTTCTTTTTCTTTTAACTTTTAGGACACAGACTCTTGATCAGCAGACGCCGTGCTTTCCGGGGGCATCCTGTTGATCAGGGACTGGCAGGCAGAAAAACTCAGAGGTGTGAGCTCCAGTGCAGAGAGGCCCCTGATTACTGGGGTGAAGGAGGCTGGGCGGAGCTCCTCCCCCCAGACTCTGTGTCTAATCGCTGTGGACACAACTCTGGCTTCTTCCTCCTCTGAGACGTCTGAGTTCTGCTTGTCCCTAAAAAAAGCAGTTTATTTAAGCAAAATTCCTAACTTCAAAAAGGAACTAAATATAACATATATAATTATGTTGACAGAAATAAATGCTAAAATGCAAAAATGGCAAGTGATGAACATTAAATAGAAAATATTACTATGGAGCAGATGGAAATTGTGACAGAGTAGATGAACTTTGTTCAGAGCAGATAACACTCATTTCAAAATGAAGTTATTTCCTCTGTCGTAAGAAAGCACAACTAGAGATCAAGACTTCAGGAAATGTGTCCTGACAACCCAAAGACATGAAAGTGTAGGAAAGAAACAGAAACAATGATTCTGGAAATGAAAGCTGAGAATTGAAAGTAACACAAAGGAACTTGGAATTGTGGCATCTGCCTGTGATCCTGGCACTGGGGAGGCTGAGGCAGGAAGGTTGCCATGCATTCAAGGCCAGCATGGGCTACATAGTGAGTTCAAGGCCAGCTTGAATTACACAGTGAAACCTTGTCTCAAAGAACAAAAATGAAGCAAAACAAAACCAAACATGTATTTTTTTTCAAGAAATCTGCCCCAAAATAAAGAGGACTTCAATAGACAGATTGTAAGGAAATGTTTTGTTCCTAAAGAAACTCACAGACAAAAAAGATAAACAGTCTCGTTTGATCCCCAGTACCAAAAAAAAAGATAAACAATAAAAACCATAAGAATTTCTGCATTGCAGCTAAAGCACTAATCAAAGAAAAAACATAAATTTAAATACTTTATTCAACTGTGCAAATATATAGAAAACCAAAGTGAAATGAATAATTTTCACCAAAAATACATATTATCAAAATTGATTTAGAAAGGGGCCAAACCAGACAAATTCCCTTTCAAAAAATTCTGTGACCATGTAGTTAACAATGGAGTCTACCAAAACCATTAAGGGACAGGTAACTCCACTGCTACTTAAGTTGTTTTAGAGTAAAAAGAGTAAAAAAAAAAAAAAAGTAAAAAATGAAAGAAGTCTCTTTTTGTGAAGTAGTCTTTTTGGGAAGTTAGCTTACATTAAAAGAAAACCTCAACAATTATAGCACACAAAGCTGAGCCTGGTGGCACACGCCTGTAATCCTAGCACTCAGGAGGCTGAGGCAGGAGGACTGCCTCAAGTTCAAGGCCAGCCTGGGCTACACAGTGAGACCCTGTCTCAAAAAAAAAATATATATATATATATATATAAATATATATAAAAATATATATATAAAATATATATATATATTACAAATAGCAAGAAAAGTGGCTGGGTAAAAATTAATACAAATAAATCAGATTTCTTTGATACCAAAAAGCTAACTTAAAAAAACAAAAAAGCTAACTTGTTAGTAAATACGACGACTTCCTTCCTCAAGTGAAACAAGTAAAAATGAAATTTTATTCACCACAAAATGTGCAAGGTCTAGCCAGGCATGGTGGAACACACTTGTAGTTCCAGCACTAAGGAGGCTGAGGCTGGAGGACTGCTGTGAGTTCAAGGCCAGCCTGAACTACACAGCAAAACTGTTTCAAAAAAAAAAAAATCCAAGGCCTGTATAAATGATTACATGCTATTGCACATTTATAATGTATTTGAGGATAGGTAAGCTTAATAACATAAAAATAAAAATCCTCCCCCAAGTTATATATGATGGCATAATGGGGCTTGCCTGTCATCCCAGCACTCGCAGGAGGATGGCCAGGAGTTTGAGGCCAGCCTGGGCTACATAGCAAGACACTGTCTCACAAAACAACAAACAAACAAAAGAATAGTGAGGGATTTTTCATGTACCACATATTAAAATATGCTAGAAAACTAAAATAAGAGTGGGAAGTTAGTGCATGAGAAAGACAGATGTAAGGGAGTTGACTGAGTCCAGAACTATACGCATAGGAATTATTTATATCTAATAAAAGGACATTTTAAACCCGTGGGAAGAAAATGAGTTATTCATTAATGATGTTGGCACAACAGAACAGCCATATGGATAAAAATAAAATTGGACTTTACACCGAAATTAATTATTAATGAATAAAAAATTTTTGAAGTAAAAATTAACCTTATAAGTGTTAGAAAAAAATATGGAAGAATCTTTAAATAAATTTTGAGTGGAGAAGGCCTTTCTAAATATATTGTAAAACCCTGAAGCCATAAAAACAATATTAACAGAATGTGCTGCCCAGGATTGGACAGTGTCTGTAAAGCCCCTGCTCTCTTGGGTTTGGAAAGTCTCCCACAAGTGCATGAGCTAGAGGTTTGGTTACCAGTCCATGGAACTATTGGGAAGTAGGGGACCTTAGAAGATGGGGCCTAATGACAGGAAGTAGGTCATTGGGGGCATGCCCTGGAAGTGGATATTAGGGTCCTCCCCCTTCCTCTCTCTCTCTCTCTCTCTCTACTTCCTGGCTGCCCTGAGAGGAGCAGGCCCTCTTACCATGCACTCCTGCCATGATGTTTGGGGTTGCCACAGGCACAAAGCAACGTGGCTAAGTGACCTCTGAAGCTGTGAGCCAAAATAAATCGGGCTTCCCTTCCAGTTAATTATGTCAGGTATTTTGTGACAGTGATAAAAAGCTAACTAATATTACCCCAAACATCATAAGAAGTCACACTTGTATAAAGTCTCATGTACATCAGCATTCACTGTAGCACTGTTTATAGCAGCAAAAGACTGGAAAAATCTGAAAGTTCTGATTAAGTAAATTTTGGTATGCCTATAAAATACAATTACCATATTAATAACAATAAGGCAGGTTCATATATGCTGATAATTGATGTGGAAAGATTTCCAAGCCAGATTAAGTGAAGAAAAATCTATAATGCACACCACATTTGTGTGAAAAGCTAAAAGAAGGAACTTAGATGCACACACTTTCATTTCCAAAGATTACTTCTGGAAGGCTGATCAGAAACCAATAAGAACTGCAGCCTGTGGGGAGGGAAACTGGGTGGCTGAAGCACAAAGGTAAGATTTAATTTACATTTCATCTGCACTGCATTTCCAATCTTGTGTCATGTATTGGTATTGCCAATATGGTCCCTATCCATTTGGGGTGTGATAACAAAACACCACTGATGGAGTGGCTTAGGGACAACAGAAATTTATTCCTCTCAATCCTGGAGGCTGGGGATTCCAAGACCAGAACGTCGGCAGGTCTGGGACTGGTGAGAACCTGGTTCCTGGTTCACAGATGACACCTCTTGCTGTAAACTCATAGTGAAAGGGCAAAATAGTTCCTTCCAATCAGTATCTTTGCATGTTGGAGAGCAGGAAGAGAGAAAGCAAGCTCGCATATGTCTTTTTATAAAAACATGAATTGTGTTAAAGAGGGCTCCATTGTCCTGTTGTAGTCACTTTTTTTTTTTTGAGACAGGGTGTTATGGCTTGTGTTTAGCTATCTCCTCAAAGCCTCATGTGGTCATAGGTGGAGTTTTTTCAAAGGTGGCTGGATCTAGAGTGTGTGATACTGGGATTGATTCATGGTGCAATGCTACTCTCAAGGGTACTAGGATTAATGGCATGAGTGTTACCTTCCGTAAGTAGCCTGAATAAGATATGAGACAGAAAGAGCTGTGGTCATGTTTTGCTGCTTTGCTGCCTTCTGCCTGCCATGAACTGTTTCTTCTCTGCAGTGCTGCCACCCTGCCTTGGAGCCAGCTGATTATGGACTGAAACCTCTACAGACTGTGAGCTAAGTAAACCCTTTCAAAGAAAGAAAGAAAGAAAGAAAGAGTCCAAAACTTACCACTTGTGGGATACAGCAAAAGGTATCACAAATGAAAATCAGAGTCCCAAATAGAAAGAAAAGAGAAATAGGATAGAACTACATTTGAAAAGATAATATCTGAGAATGATAGACAAACTACAAATCCAAGAAGCTCAGAAAACTCCAACCAAAATAAATCCAAAGAAATTCATATTCCTTTACATTAAATTCATACTACTGTAAGCCAAACACAGAGAAATTCTTAAAAGCAGTTAAAGTAAGAAACATTTTTAAGAAGCTACAACTGGAATGACAGCTGATTTTTACAAAACAATGGAAGTCATAAAATAATGGAAGATCATCTTTACAATCGAAAGAGAAAGAAAATAACTTGACCACATAGCATTCCATACCTACTAAAGAAACTCTTCAGAAATAAAAGCAACAGCACTTGGGAGGGTAAGGTAGGAGGATTCCTGAGAGTTCAAGGCCAGCTTGGGCTACATAGTGAGTTCAAGGGCAGCCTGAACTGCAGAGCGAGACCCTGTGCCCCTACCTCAAACAAAACAAAAGGCAAAAGGAAATCATTTTCAGTCAAACAAAAACTGGGACTTAATGCCATCAGACATGCACTCAATGAAATATTATAGAAACTGAAGTAAAATGACCGCTGAAAGAAGCATAGACTCCCAGAAGCATCAAAGAGCACCAAAAAAGATAAATATGGGAGACGTGAAACACTTGGCTGTTGGAGTCAGTAATGATAATGCCTTTTGTGTTCCAGAACATACATAGGAGTGTAATCCATGACAGCAATAGCATGAAGCACCGAGGGTAAAGGAGTTAAACTGTTCTTAGGCTCTTACGTCATTTGTCAGTGGTAAAAGTTCAACTTTAGAGCATGTCAGTCACAAAGAGGCACACTGTGATCTCTTTCACAAAAAAGTGTAAGACTAACTTGAAAGTTGGTAGAGGACAAAAACAGAATAATAGGACACAAGTGACGGTTGTGGTTATTTCATGGGAGGGATTCACTGGAAATGGGACTGGAAACGGCTTATATTCTTCTATGAGTGGTGGTAATGTAGGTGTATTTACATAATTTATGCATGTATGTGCATCTTTCATATGTGCTATATATGATTATTTAATTGTAATATGTAACTTAGCTATAAGAAGATATGTATAATACAGTGATATCTCAGTTCATGAATGCTTTTCTTTGCAAACAGAAGTGTTTGACAAAATTCTGTTTTCCTTTGCAAAGTCTGCACTGGGTGACAAACACAACCTCAGCCGTCTTTCCATCACAAACTCAAATGTGGCCATCTTTTCCAAAATTGTAGAACAGGGCTGGGGGTTTAGCTCAGTAGTTCCGCCGCCTGCCTGGCAGGTGCAAGGTCCCAAGTTCGATCCCCAGTACCAAAAAAACCAAACAAACAAAATTGTAGAACAAATTAAGTTTGAGAACTGAGGTCACACTGTATATAGTGAAGTAATTTAAAATAATTATAAATAAATATTAAATATATGAACACATAATATATAATAATGTTATCAACAGATGTATATAAATATAATATGATGTGTAATATATATATTTACATATAAATTCACTGAGATTTTTCTCTTAAAGTTTGTGTACTTTATTATACATAAATTAAACATCAATTAAGAAACAAAAAATCATAAAAAATAAGAAAAATATTGTATCCACAGAAGAAAAAGTTACTGAAAAACATATTGAAGGAAAAGAAAGAGCTTTTTCAAAGAAAAAATATGACTATAAATATAAATAAATAACAGACATGAAAAAAACAATACAAAGGCTGAAAGATTATGTTTAAGACATCTCTCTGAATGTAGAAAAATAAA